TATATATACTGCATCTGTGGCTTGCTGTAGATCCACACAGACAATTATTACATTTTATTTATTCATTTTTTCAACAAGTTATTTTTATTTATTTGTTTATTCATTTATCTATGTTTAGTTATTTTGCAAAAGGTGGAGTGGATGTAGACTGGAACTGTATAACTCCAAAACTGACCAAAAAAGCACCATATAAGTAGTCCATATGACTTGTGCACTATATTTCAAGTCTTATGAAGTCAGGTTTGACATCAGTTACATCAAACATGATTGAATTAGTATCATCACTGATGTCCAGCTTGATGCTATGAATGCATGCAAATGCAAAACAGTTTTAAAAGCTACGGGCAAAGGGAACATTTTAAGTAAATAATGTGCTTTTCAGTTTGTTTATCATTGTATGTCTTTAGAAAACATGGAAGGTAGTGCATGAGTCACAACTCATATGGACTACATTTATGCTGCTTTTTTGTGTGTGTTATTTTTAGACCTTCAAAGCCCCAGTCCCCATCCACTTCCATTGGAAAAGAGCAACAATGATATTGAGCAAAATAACATTGTGTTCTAAAGAAGCAATAAAATCACACAAAACAAAATTAAAATAACAGTGACAAAATGATCCTTTTGGGGTAAACTAATTCTTTAAAAATGCCCATTTTAATGTTTAAAATGGCAAAGATAAATCTGCAAGTCATCTAAAGTATCTTGGCCAAATAAAAGGTATTTTTCTTCAAAAGATGATTCTCTAAATTGCCTGAGAAATGAAGAGGGTATTAGGCCACATGCACTCTTCTGAATGCCCAGATGGAGGGGTGAGTGAATAAAAGCTGAACTCAACGAGCGGTTTGGGGTTTCCTGTCTTACTCTTTCTCTTCCGCCCTCTATCTTTCCCTTTACCGCAGCCTCAGCCCGCTCCATCAAACGGCCCCAGAGTGCCAGAGTCCGATGCCTTGAAAATCTCTCAGCCTGCCTGCGGGCAGCTCATATGACATAAACACCACAAAAAGCTAATTGGAAATAAACCAAACCGGGGGGAAAGGATGTTGCAGAATGTTACGTGTGAACTACCAAAGGTGTTAATATACTCAGAGCGAGACTTTGGCGAGTTCCGCATTTGCTCGAGGCACACATCAAACTCATGACCTTTGCAACAGGAAGTGAGTGTGCTGGCCGTTCACCAGGGTTTAGGGGGCTGCAGAAATATACCAACAGTGTTTTATAACAGGTATTAGTTTATTACATCACCAATTGACAGTATAGTATAGTTATTATATGGGAATAATTCACATATTTTTATGTTTTTGAAAGAAGACGCTCACCAAGGCTACATTTAGTTGTTCAAAAATACAGTAAAAACTTTACAATTTTTTACAGTTTAATATGTCTGCTTCCTATTTCAAACTGTAATTTATTCCTGTGATGCGAAGCTTAATTTTCAGCATCATTACTCCAGTCTTGAACTTTCTATTCATCAAAGGATCCTGAAAAAAATGTATCACGGTTTACACCAAAAAATATTAAGTGGCAATATTGATAATAGTAAGATTAATATTATTAATAAGTGAGCAGCAATAATAATTTATCATGACTGAGCAGCAAATCAGCATATTAGACTGATTTCTGAAGGATCATGTGACACTGAAGAGTGGAGTAATGATGCTGAAAATTCAGCTTTCCATCAAAGGAATAAATTACAAAATACAGCTATTTTAAATTGTAATATTATTTCACAATATTACTGTTTTTACTGTGTTTCTGATCAAATAAATGCAGCCTTGGTGTGCATAAGAGATGTCTTGCTAAAAAATTTAAAAATCTTATTTCAAATGTTTAACTAGTAGTGTATATCTGGAAAAGAATGTCCTTGATTTAAGTAGACAGACAAAATATATTCATGCATTTACAAAGTGCCACTGAATGAAAAATAAGCTGCAAAAACATTCATTCAGAAATTGTCCTCGACGTCACAACCCTGAGAACACAAAGAGGAAACCAGGCCGACATCCAGCATATGGAGCCACATCAGAGCCAGAGAGAACAAGAGGTTGTAACTGGTAGCAGGTGAGGTTGAAGATGAGATGAATAGAAAGAGAAATATACTGTGACATCCCATTTGTGCGAGCGTGTGTGCATGAGAGAGAGATCTCATTCCGTACTTAATGAGGACGGCAGTAATAAGTGAAGGAGAGATAGACCAATGCAGTGTCATTTCAGCCAATTCAGGCAGAAAGCAGCTCTATTAGCGGGCTATCAGGACTCTGCGTTCCTACCAGAACTCCCACAAACGGCAGCAGTGTAGATGAACACAACCATCGTCTGTGAGCGATGTGACCACTTATATGTTCTTACGTTTCCTTTTCTCACCACTACACTCAAAGCTGCTGTACACACTATCACATAAACATTAGAACTGGCAGCTGGAGTGTTTAGAGGAGACCGGGGCTAGTTGTCACACAAAGAAGGTTTTGAGCAAAACAAAAACAAATGATGTTTTCTTTTGCATGTTGGTTTAAAACGCTTTTGTCTTACATTTCTGCTGTTTACTGAAATATTTTGTATTTCATATGTTTTATTGGTTAAACTTAGGTTGTTTAATGGGAGGTTACATTCAGAATTATTATCGTTAACTAACTAAAATCATAAAAATACATTTCATTACTTGAAATAAAATTTATATTAACTGAAACAAAAAAAAAATATTTTTTAATTTCAGGGTTTTACCATTTTATTTCTGCTAGTTGCCGAGGCTACTCCTTTTTTCTTTTAGTTCAAGTGGTAAAATAGCAAAATAATTCAACTAAAACTAAAAATTAAAACTTCATGGCCTGGTTTCACAGATGGGGCTTAGCTTAAGCCAGGACTAGGCCTTGGTTAAATTAAGATATTTAAGCAGCTTTTACAAAAATGCCTGTAAAAGAAAACGTTACAGGTATGAATCTTGACAAAGAACAAGGGCACTGACATATTTGAAGATATGTCAGAGCAAGATATTTTCAGTTGAGACAGCTCAAACCTGCATTTTAGTCTGGGACTAGCTTAAGCCTTGTCTGTGAAAACGGGGGAATAAGACCTATACACACATATTGTAAAAAAAAAAAAAAAATCTGATGAAATTACAAAAACTAAAAAATAGGGGGAAAAAACAGAAAATATGTAAAAAAAAAAAATAATAATAATAATTTCAAAATTATACTATATCAATGATACTAAAATAACACTGAGACAGCATGCACTAATAATGGACGTGTCAAGTCAAGTCAAGTCACCTTTATTTATATAGCGATTTTAACAATACAGATTCTGTCAAAGCAACTGTACAGCATCAAATACGAAAATAGTGTGTCAATAATGCAATATGACAATAGTAAACACTCAATTTTCAGTTAAAGGCTGTTCATCATTGAATTCAGTGATGTCATAATCCAGCTCAGTTCAGTTTAAATTGTATCTGTGCGATCAAGTCAACAATATCGCTGGAAATTAAGTGTCCCCAACTAAGCAAGCCAGATGCGACAGCGGCTCTCCTCCGGCCAGACGAACCAGCAGTTCAGTTCCAGGCTGCAGCAAAGTCACATTGTGCAGAGGACTCAACTGGTTCCTGTGGTCTTGTCCCAGTGGCCATCTAGGAGACAAGGTCTTCACTGGGGATCTGTCTTTGTGGCTCATCTAGTTGTCCTGGTCTCTGCTGAAATTCAGAGTGACTGCAGTGACCATCTGATCTGGATACAGACTGGATCTGGTGGCTACGGTGACCTCGGAATAAGAAAGAAACAGACTAATATTAATGTAGATGCCATTCTTCTAACGGAGTAGCAAGTACATCGGGTGTTATGGGAAGTGTTTCCGGTTCCGGTTGTCCTAATTAATGCAGCCTAAAAATCCTTTAATGGATTTGAATATTAGAAATGTGTTAGTGTGTTATGTGTAAGCCAGGTTAAAGAGATGGGTCTTTAATCTAGATTTAAACTGACAGAGTGTGTCTGCCTCCCGAGCAATGGCATAGGTAGGTTATTCCAGAGTTTGGGTGCTATGCTAAATAGGAAAAGGATCTGCCACCCACAGTTGATTATCAAATTATCAAATTGCCAGAGTTTTGAGAATGCAGCGGACGTGGAGGACTATAATGCAATAAGATCTCATTCAAATACTGAGGTGCTAAACCATTCAGGGCTTTATAACTATATATAATATATACGATGTTTAATAGGGAGCCAGTGCAGTGCAACTAGTCACGGTCTTTCATATACAAATGAAACCCTCTGATTAACTGATAAAGAGACATGATCCAGCCTGCCCTGTGTAAAAACATTTATATTTATATATATGTACATGAATGTATTTTTTACAGATGCTTTTGCATATCCCCAAAGGGAGATTCTCACATTTAGTTCACTTCTGGGTACAAATTTATCTCTGAAATACAGCTCGCCCACACACACACACACACACACACACACTTCCAGAGGTGTCTGAGTGCACAGCTGTCACTAAGACACACCGATATTAATTACCATTGTGTTGATCTGACAGCTGAGAGCAGGGGTCTGCAGCCTTTAACTTTACAGAAGAAAGATACAAGCAAATCCACATGTGATATGACAGCTTGGAAAAGAAATGAAAAGGATGATCATAAGGTGATATAAAGAGAAAGAAACCACCACCATTGTCGACATACTTGACTAAATTTAGGTTTCTCGTGATCTTTAAATCCTTTTGATCTGCAAGTTTATACTTAAAGGCTTAACATTAGTTCTTTAGAAATATATAATGTGCAATTGTAATTTAAAGCTCAACTGTGAGACTATTTTTATTTAATTATTTGATAAATAAGTGATTAAATAAATAACAACAAAAAAGACTATATAGTCGCATATTCCCATAATTCCATTTGTTGTTTTATAGTGTTGTTGCAATATGTGTTCAAAACATGAATACTATTGTTGTAGAAAGAAAAAGTATAGCTATGTGTTAAAAGTTTTGACTGATATTATTTATTTAATACTTAACGTCTCTGTATGTGTTTGTGTATGTATACAGAAAGAGACATTGCAATAAAACTCGGGCAAACATAATTCAGCTCAATATTTCAATTCACAAACACATCTGTCATACGAGCATAGAGATGTTTATTGAGTGAGTTTGTTATTGGACTCGAGTTTCTATTAGTCTGAGTGACAAATGCAAGAAAGACTGAGGGAGACATTTATTATTAAACCCCGTGATGACAGACAATCAATATGCAGGTGTTTGCTATTGTCCCAGACACAGGTGAAGCTGTGGGTTTTGCTGTGTGATAATCCAGTTACGGCCTCCTGCAGTCTGTCAGGTGAAGTGAAATGGCGGAGGATGTTTGTACAGACGACGTTAGCGCTGCGACTGATGAAAGGCCAGATTCACAAAACAACGCACAATTTTAAGTGAAACCACGTACATCTCTTGGCAGTACAACTTTCCATTTTTTTCTAAATTAAGTTATTATAGCCTAATTCGTTTCTGAACAAAAGCGCCTGTGTTTATGTAAATGAAACGTATTCAAACTGTGTTGAGCGCGAAATTTCTGCTGATACTGCAACGGTTGTGATATGACGTCACGCTTTGTGGCGCCCTATTTTAAAACATAAATTCGACATAATAATAATATTAATAATAATAATAATTCAAATAGTAGTAAATGCAAAATGTAAAAATATACAATTTTCTCAACTTTCCTGCAACACTTTTAGAGTTTATAGTCTTTTCATTTAGATAAGAGGTTATGCCATGGGCCTCACTAGGCCATTTCTAAAATGACTACTCAGTCCCCCTAAAATTAGCTGCATAAACTGTACACGAATTCGTGATCGCCTCAGTCCCCTTTAAATTTCATATGAAAATGGCGGCAGACTTCGATCGACTCCCAGTCATCTTTCAGCGCGTTCTTTTTCAATCCGCAGACCGCAGCGTGCAGAGCGAGAAACAGAGGACAAGGTGTGTGTTTAACAATAGATCGTTATAATATCTGCATGACTGCATCTGTGCAGTTCTGTTCTTTGTCATAAATACCGTTTACAAAATATCAATCAGTACCCCATCTACTGTAGCCTAAGTCAGGGGCGTGTCTATGTGGTGGCCAGGGGTGGCACCGGCCCCCTCTGAAATTTGGCTGGCCACACCAGGTGCCCCCCCCTACCAGATGTTTTGCCATAGGCTTGTTTTTAGTCAATTTCCAATTTTAGGCGGTTTCTATAATGTGATATTAATGAAAACAATAGATCGTTATAATATCTGCATGACTGCATCTGTGCAGTTCTGTTCTTTGTCATAAATACCGTTTACAAAATATCAATCAGTACCCCATCTACTGTAGCAGAAGTCAGGGGCGTGTCTATGTGGTGGCCAGGGGTGGCACCGGCCCCCTCTGAAATTTGGCTGGCCACACCAGGTGCCCCCCCTACCAGATGTTTTGCCATAGGCTTGTTTTTAGTCAATTTCCAATTTTAGGCGGTTTCTATAATGTGATATTAATGAAAATGTCGAGAGCGCATAATGTTATGCGATCCATGTGCGCGAGGACGAATCTCTCCACTCCCAAGCGGATTTCCTTCACTCACACAAAACTGGACGTGTGCTTTTAACATACATCGTTCCGCAAACACAACCCTAGGTTGTTTGCATACTTGAGCTAAGGAAAGGGTTGTACTAGAAATGCAAGCAGTAAAATGTTGTGTGTGTACAGTAAACAGGTGTGTGTGTGTGTGTGAGAGAGAGAGATCATGAAGACTTGTATTTGGCTTATTCAGTTATAGGCCTGCACTGTAAAAAAAATTCTGTAGTTTTTACAAAACAATTTTGGCAGCTGTGGTTGCCAGAATAATTTTAAAAATACAGAAAAACAGTAAACACATTTACGGCCAAAAACTGTAAATTTTACAGTATAAAACTGTAATTTACAAACAAGAAAATTAGAATGTAAACCAGTAAATTCAACAATGCACACTGCTATTAAAATCTGTTTTGTACCTTTAACATACTGACAACCACTATAATAATGCAGGTGGTAAAAGAGAAAGCCACATGAAGAATCAAAGCTCATCACAAGTAGCTTCGCCACAAGCAGAAGTGTATA